TTCAGCAAGAATTGCCTTTCAAATAAAGGCCAGGTAATAGCATAACCCTGACATTCCAAGGGCAGACGGGTATTTCTCCACCAATCAGCTGCATCATTCTGCAACATATAAGAAGCATACAACAATTTCTGCTGATCATCACACTCCATGACAGTAAAAATGCGATCCAATTCTTCTAACCACTGAATTGCAGCAATAGGATCAATGCCTCCTTTATAATTTGGTGGTGCATGTTTTCGGAAGGCATTTAGCATTCTTTCTCTTTGCTCTCTATTAGTGGCTGGCTGTGCCACACCACCCCTGTGACTAGATTCTTCATTCACATCATTATTTCCTTCACCCTCCACAACAATGGGATTATGAGGAGGAGGAACAGGCTGTTGTGGTTGTGGCTCAGGCTGTGGCTGTTGCAAAGGCTGTGGCTGTGGACCTTGCCCACCCGCCCTCACCTCAACCAAGAGTAATCTCATCATTTCAATATTCGCCATTCTGCTTGCTGCCATCATTTCTTGATTGGCCAACCTATTAGCCTCTAACAGATCTTGATTTGCTTTCATCATCACTTCTAGCTCTCGCTGCCTAGCTGCAGCCATATTTTGTTGCATCTCAGTTAAGGCCATTATCATTGGATCTGGCTGTGAAGTATTTCCCCGCGGGTTAAGTCGGGGTCTTGCCAAATCTGCCAATATTGGATCGGTCGGGTCAATAGGAGGATCAGAAGTCCTTCTTGGGCGAACCATAATTCTGCATATTTCACACAAAGGAATGAGTTAGCTACGCTCACACTCGGTGATCAGACATGCATATCATAGTATTCCAAGAAAAACTCAAGAATATAACAACCCGAACAGTTCATGCAATATTTCACAGGCTCTTCTAGAGAAACTGCTCTGATACCATAAATGTAACATCCCCGTCTCGAGCCGGTTCAATTAACATACATATGATAAAACAGAAAACAGCGGAAGACTTAACTTACGAAAATATGAGCTAACTTTTTCTTTTTCTAACTTAATTCTTTCTCGGCGTAAACGAAAATCGGGCAGAGTTTCCTCTATAAATCGGACAACTGGGGATTTTCCAATCCCACTCAGAAGCATTTCCTGATAAACAGTTTATACAACATATCAATTCGGAAATACCAGATATCCAAATATAATCGAATACCCATACATGGGCGCATGCATAACATGGCTCCGTGCCGCTAAATCTAACAGCATGCCATCAAAACATAAACCTATCTGAATACTACATCATCATATAACGTTCCTGAATACTCAAATGTACATGCATCAAACTGACAGACATGTACAAAACATATACAGGCCATATACAAAATAAAGGATCAATATCATGATCCATCAAATGCGAAAATACTAAAATACATCAAACACTCCAAAAAGGTAGCAGCCTACAGCCACTCAAAATCCGGTCTGTCAACTGCCTCAGCCACGTGTCGTGTCCCTGCCTAGTGAGGACTCACCGGAAATCTGGGCACCTGAAAATGTGTCCCCAAAGAGGGGTGAGATTACAAATCTCAATAAGCTCCAGGTTTATAGAGAATTCTCCATACCCCTGGCTCACTCCTGCATGAAAGTCAGATACAGAGTATACAAATACAACATATAACAGATATCATAACAGAACAGAGCATATATCCATATCATATCAGAGATGTGCGCCGTCATTCCCAAGGGAGGACCCCAAGCAGAAATCAACGCACGTGTTCCCGAGGGAGGACCCCAAAGCGGAACCAGACATATCAGAGGAGTACACCATCAGTCCCGAGGGAGGACCCCAAAGCGGACGTCCGGGTACTATACAATCAATGGCCAGAGATTGTTACAGAAATCAAATTACAGAAGTCATATCAGAGCAAAACATATCATGTTATCAAATAACTCTATATGAATGCATCTATACAAAGCATCTAAATCACAATCATACAGTCCAACCATAGTTCACTAACCATGGTGGAGCACTCAAGCAGGAAAAGACTCCTTAAACATAGAGCTTACCTCTTGAAGCTTTACCAATACGCTTACTTGTGGACCAAGTTACTTTTATCGCTTCAAGAGATTTCCGATCCTTCTCAATCCCTAGGCACACCTAGAGAATACTTTACAATGCATCAATAAGATGATACTATGCCATGATTATTTCATAAGCATACATTTTATCGCTTATTTTCCTTTCTTTATACTTTTGCCAATGTTATGCCAATACACAAGTCTAGACCACCTTATACTCGTTAGCATTCTTTAATTTTAATCAAGTATTCACTTGAGAATTTTCAATATCATTCATGCCATTTTACTTCAAACGCCGCGGACATACCCTTAGGAAATCAAGGTATTTTTCAACCATTTTTCGAGTCATTTCACTTCTTAACTCATCAATTTTATACAATGAATTAGAACACATTTTATTTACAATAAAATGTAACAAAATATACTCCTATACCACCCTCTAGGTCGAACACTACAAGGACATAGACAAAGGTTCTTTTTCTTCACTTACACGTAACTTACACATACAAATACATGTTTTCATAAGGTTCCAACTTAATTTTTGGAGCATAAAGTCCCTCCAAAGCCCCACAAGGCCTAAACCTAAGGGCATATTTCATATAATTTTTCCCACTTTGGCATTCTCACTAATTTATCAAATTTCCACTTAATTCCTACACCTTAAACCTTCCTAATACTTAAGATAAAATTTTTGCACAACAACCTACTCTTCATCTATGATGGCCGAACATGTAGAGGAAATCATAGGATTTTTTTCTAATTTTTTTACATACATACAAATGCTTATTTTCATTTTATACATCAAAATATCAATTATTCCTCATCAATACATATTTTAACACATCATGCTTTTCCACCCAAGGCATATACACAATTTTATAACTTAAATAATCAAAACAACATCATGGAAATAGAGGTTTGTTACCTCAAATCAACTACCCAAAGCCTAGAAGACCTACACCAAGAGAATCTCCATCAAAAACTTCATTTTGCCCTCTTGATGAATAGTACACGAAATTGGGGAAGGAAATATCTCCTCACACAACCAATGATAGCTCAAATAAATGGGTGGGATGGACTCATTGGGTGGTTTCCCATCGATTTCAAGTAGTGGGACTTGTGATTTGGTTAACTTTGGAGTGAGAATCAAAGAAATGAAGAACCAAACCCTACCCCCCCTTTTCACCAAGTGCAGCTCGGCTTCTTTGAGGAAGAGAGGAGAGAGAGCTGATTTTGAATAGTGCTCATTTGAGTCACTTAAGCTTTTAAGCACATGTGGCCCTTTTACCCGGTTGTTTTTCTATCGCGTATTTTTACTTAATTGACCCGGAACTTAACTTAAAGCTACAGATATATTTTTATTTTTCTAAAGTCATTTAAATTAATTTTTATTTCCTAAGTAACAATATTCATAATTCACAGTATGGTTTTTGCACCGTTTTTGACGAAATGCACTGTGCATCACTAATTGTACTTCCTTTACTTACGAAACTTAAAACTTATAAACTTATCATTTTCTTGGGCCTATATTGACTTGCTTGGCATATATTGGACTTTCTTATTCTTATTTCATCAATTATTTATTTCTGGACTCTACCGGTTGCTTAAACAGCAGTACAAAATACCCGGTAGAAACACTATTCACGAGATTTTCACGGAAAGTGCCAGACTATACAATTTTTCGTTCTGAACTCATATTTGTCATCAGAATTTTCAAATTATGTTCCTAAAATTATTTTGCTCATTTTAAGCTCTACCGGTTAATTCACAAAACTGTAAATTCTCCGGCAGAACGCACTGTTCATAACATAGTCATGATTACAGTCAAAATACTCGAAATCGCTCACTGAATCTAATTATGGCATTTAAATCCTTAAATTAAATCTCTAACTAAGATTTACCAGTTAGGGTCATTATAATGGACGTGAGAATATTCATTATTATTATTATTATTATTAGTTTCCTTTTTTTTGGTACATAAGTTTCTTTTCTTTTATAGCACAATTACTTCCAACTTAATTAAATTAATGAATATTAAGTTACAAGGATTGGGGGAGTAGTGAAAGCCTTAGGCAATTTATAGTTTCAAACTGGGGTGTCAATATTGAACAAAGAAGAATCAATGAATATTACAAAGTCAAAGTTGGTTACTATATCCACAAAATTGCTCCGTGACTAAAGTACAAGGGTCAGAACAATCAGAAGATTATTTACATAAATGAATGTGTATTTTTTTTTCTCTGTTTAAAACTGGGAACAGTTCATGAATGAATTTGTAACTACTGCCTCCTACTTTACTGCTACATTTTTGGAGCTACGATTTGGCCAATTCTGTAGTTGCTTTAAATACCTGAAATGAACATTTCTGAAGCATGTTGAAATATTTACGAGCAGAGCTTCTAACAAGCAATGGATTAGTATAGTTATATACCTATGGAATTTACATAAAGATGTTCAGGGAGTCTTTTACTGTAACCAATGTGGTGGATATTGGGAAGGTCGGAAATCATTCATAAACCTATAGCAAATATAAGAATCATTAGAAAAGCTTAAGTTAATTATTCTAAGGAGTTTCACCATCAATAGAATTTTTAAAAGGAAAGGATGATATATGAGTTCTCAGATTCATATTGGTGTAAATAACTTATTGCAAGAAAATTAACAAGAACAACCCTTTATAATTGAAGCTATAGCAAAATGGTCATGTAATAATATAAGCACTACTTACTTCTCTATGTTATTTGATGATTTTGTGTTCCTTCAATGAGAATGGAATTTTGAGAAGATCCATCAGCATCTGTTCCATAGAAAGACCATGGTTAAAAGTGTCATTTAATCTTCAATCAAAATCTGCTTCTGCACATCATAATTTCACCTTCAAGGTGCTTATTTTTTCCACTTTATGGTTTTTGATTTCTGATAAAGAGTACTTCCAAATGAATCTTTGATTGGAAAAAGAAGACACTTACCTCAATCGGGGGAAGTTTCAAGCTTCTCAGAATTGCCACCAGGATAACCATTTTTCAGATTCTTAAGTAATTGTAGCCTCTCAATCTCCTCATCTTTTGTCAAAATAGTGTCCTTGAGAGAAGCCACCTGCAAGGGAAAGCAAAAAATTTAAACAAATTAATCCATAGTTGAATTTACTTCTCGGATCTAGTCATCTTCAGTTTTTCTCAAAACCAAAGTAAGTTTTCTATAAGCTTCTAATTTCAAAGCATACAAGGAAAAGAAAGGAAGATAGATAGTTGATCAACTTATAGGCATTTGATGCATTCATAAAATGATGGAAGGTATGTAAGGTATGAAACATAACCATCTTTAGCCAAGTTAAGCACCTGCTCCATCAATTCTCTGACATCTCTGCCCTCTTTGGTACTTCGTGCAGCTCCTAACTCAACTCCAGAAACCCTCTCAGCAAACTTCAAAGTACTCAGAGATTCAGAAAATGACTTTACGTCTGAATTAATTTGGACTAACATGAGTGTCTTTGCTTGACCACCTGTGCAGTAAAATCAATGACAGGCTTCAAATGCAATCCTAGCAAAGCAAGGCATGTTGACATTAAGAAATGATAAACAATGATTTTACCAAGAGATGATTGCAAAAGTTGAGTAAGCTTGCTGTTTCTGTATGGTACATGGGCACTCTTTTGAGAAAGTGCAAAAATGACATCACCAAGGGCAGATAGTGATTTGTTAATATGCTGTGCTTCCTTAAGTCTATCCCCAGTTACTTCAGAGCGGTCTACCCTTTCACTTCCTGCCAAATCTACCAAATGAAGATTACCTTGAAGAGAAGAACCAGACTTCTTATCCACTCCACGAACATGAATTGAGACCACACTGTGCACACAAGTTTATTGATCATCACAATACTAGAAATCTTTCAATGGTGAATGTAAATAACCAATTCAACCTAAAAATTTAAGCTGTTAGATGAGGCTATATTAATGGTTTTATATATATCTAACACGCCTCCTCACACGGAAGTCCATTGCACTTGAAAGATGAACAATGCACAGGTTCACATACTTATGCTAAGAAACTCCTCAAACTTTATCAATTATTAATAAAATGGGAGGCGATGAGTATAATGACCCTAACTGGTAAATCTTAATTAGAGGTTTAATTTAAGGATTTAAATGCCATAACTAGATTTAGAGCGTGATTTCGAGTATTTTGATTGTAATCATGACTAAGTCATGAACAGTGCGTTCTGCCGAATAATCTGCATTCTTGTGAATTAACCGGTAGAGCTTAAATGAGAAAAATTGTAACATCTCGGGCGCTGACGAGGGCGGGGAGTGATCGCCGGTGCGAAAGGGCATGGACAAGGAGCGGCTCCTGGCAGGCTTCCAGCGACGGAGGTCCATGAATGAATTGAATCAACACCCGAAAGAGAGGAATTCCAGAGACTGTGCTGGTATGGGACGATACAGTTGGGAATAGCTTATAAGAATTAATTGGTACTAACTATACTAACAAGATGCATATTCTTTTCGGTAGCCCGGAACGGAAGAACTCCACAGTTAGGCGTGCTTGACTTGGAGCAATTCTGGGATGGGTGACCTCGTGGGAAGTTTTTCGAGAAGTGTGCGAGTGAGGAAAAAACACACTGAAAAGTCTCGTGTTAGTATGTGGAGATAGTCATTGATTCTTGAAGCGGCCAGGCGTTACAAAAATGATTTTAGAGACATAATTTGACAATTCTGACGCCAAATATGAGTTCAGAACGAAAAATTGTATAGTCTGGCACTTTTCGTGAAAATCTCGTGAATAGTATTTTCTACCGGGTATTTCGTACTGCTGTCAAAGCAACCGGTAGAGTCCAGAAACAAATAATTGATGAAATAAGAATAATGAAGTCCAATATATTCCAAGCAAGTCAAAATAGGCCCAAAGAATGATAAATTAATAAGTTTAAGTTTCGTATGCAAACAGTGCACAATTAGTGAACCACAGTGCATTTCGTCAAAAACGGTGCAGAAACTATACTGTGAATTATGAATATTGTTCCTTAGGAAATAAAAATTAATGTAAATGAGTTCAGAAAAATAAAAATATGTCCGTAGCTGTAAACTAGTTCCGGGTCAGTTTAAGTGAAAATACGCGGGGGGAAAAACAACCGGTAAAAGCCACATCTACTTATAAACCTTTAAGTGACTTAAAAATCACTATTCACTCACCATATCTCTCTCCTTCTTCCCTCCCAACCCGCGGCTGCCATGGAGAAAGGGACTTAGGGTTTGTTTTTTTAATTCCTCTCATTTCCACTCATTTTGCCACCAAAAGTCATGATGCCATACATGAAAATTTAAGGAAAAAGGCTAGTGAATCCATTCCACCATCTATTTTGGGCTAAAATTTCTTGTTGAAAGAGCTATCATCTTCCCCCAATTCGAATCATTATTCATCAAAGAGGAGAAATTGGAGTTTTGATGGAGCTTTGCTTGGAGATTGTTCTCTAGGCTTTGTATAAGTGATTAGAGGTAATAAATCTATAATGACCATAACTGGTAAATCTTAATTAGAGGTTTAATTCAAGGATTTAAATGCCATAATAAGATTCAGTGAGTGATTCCGAGTATTTTGATTGTAATCATGACTATGTTATGAACAGTGCGTTCTGTCGGAGAATTTGCAGTCTTGTGAATTACCCGGTAGAGCTTAAATAAGCAAAATGATTTTAGAGGCATAATTTGACAATTCTGACGATAAAAATGAGTCCAGAACAAAAAATTGTATAGTCTGGCACTTTCCGTGAAAATCTCGTGAATAGTGTTTTTACCGGGTATTTAGTAGTACTGCTGTTTAAGCAACCGGTAGAGTCCAGAAATGAATAATTGATGAAATAAGAATAAGAAAGTCCAATATATGCCAAGCAAGTCAATATAGGCCCAAGAAAATGATAAGTTTATAAGTGTTGAGTTTCAAAAATAAATAAAGTACAGTTAGTGGTTCAAAGTGCATTTCGTCAAAAACGATGCAAAAACCATACTGTGAATTATGAATATTGTTCCTTAGGAAATAAAAATTAATGTAAATGACTTTAGAAAAATAAAAATATATCCGTAGCTTTACGTTAAGTTCCGGGTCATTTTAAGTAAAATACGCGATAGAAAAACAACCGGGTAAAAACTCATATATGTTTAAAACTAAGTGGCCAACGATGCACTTTTAAAAAAATCAGCTTCTCTCTCTTCTTCTTCCCAAAAAGCCGAGCTGCACCTTGGAGAAAGGGGGGTAGGGTTTTGAATTTCTCCTCCTTCTCCATCATCTATACTCCAAATTCAAAGACCCACCACATGAAATTGCTTGTAAACCACCCAATGAACCCATTCCACCCATCAATTTGAGCTATTGTTGAGTGTGTGAAGAGTTCTTCTCTCCCCCAAATTCGAGCTACTATTGATCAAGAAGAAAAAATGGATCTTTGGAGGGAGCTTTGCTTGGTGAAGGCCTTCTAGGCTTTGGGTAGTTCATTGGAGGTAACAAAACTCTAACCCTATGGCTTTATTATTGTGAATAATGTTTTGAAAGTCATGAGCATGGATGGGTAGGAAATAAAGTAGTATAAAACTTGAAAGTGATGATGGTTTGTTGTGTATAGGAAGTCATAGTGAAAAAATAAGCATTTTTACATGTGTTAAATGAAAAAAAAAATCCCCTTGTGTTGTGTCCCTTGATGTTCGGCCATGAGAGGGTATGGAGGGGATGATGTGCAAAAATTTAGTTTGTGTAATTGGTAGAGATATAAATATGTATTGTGAAGGTATAATGTGTTGGAAATGAGTGAAAATGGATGAGTTAGTAAGAATGCCTAAGTAAAAAGGACTTGGTGTCTAAACTCAAAATAGGAATCTAGTGGAAGCATTCCTAGGTGTTTGCAAGTTGTAAGGAAGTAAAGAAAATGTATTGTAAAAGAGAAGGATCTTTGGAAATTCCCCTTATAGGATTCGACCTATAGGGTATTTAGGGATATATTTTGTACATTTTATTTTAAATAAAATGTGTTGTAATAAATTGTATAAAAGTGATGAGTTTTGAAGAAAAATAGCACGATTTATGTTGAAAATTCCTAAGGGAATGGTTGATTAAATTAAAGAACACCAACAACTACAAAAAAGGTCTAGACTTGTGTATTGGCATAGGATTGACAAAAATGCAAAGAAATGAAAATAAGCGATAAAATGTATGCTTTGTGAAAGTATCATGGCATAATATCATTTTATTGATTTTATTGTAAATTCTTCTCTAGGTGTGCCTAGGGATTGAAAAGGAGTGGAATTCTATTGAAGCAATATAAATAATTTGTGCAACAAGTAAGGGTATTGGTAAAGCTTGAAGAGGTAAGCTCTATGTTTAAGGAGTCTTTTCCTACTTGAGTGCTCCACCATAGTTAGTGAACTGTGGTTGGATTGTATGACTGTTTTGATGCTTTGTATAGATGCATTCATATAGAGCTATTTGATAACATGATATGTTTTGTTCTGATATGACTTCTGTAAGATGATTTCTGTAATAATCTCTGGCCATTGATTGTATAGTACCCTGATGTCCGCTTTGGGGTCCTCCCTCGGGACTAATGGTGTACGCCTCTGATATGTCTGGTTCCGCTTTGGGGTCTTCCCTCGGGAACACGTGCGTTGATTTCCGCTTGGGGTCCTCCCTTGGGAATGACGGCGCACATCTCTGATATGATATGGATATATGCTCTGTTCTGTTATGATATCTGCTATATGTTTTATTCGTATACTTTGTATCTGACTTTCATGCAGAAGTGAGCCAGGGGTATGGAGAATTCTCTATAAACCTGGAGCTTATTGAGATTTGTAATCTCACCCCTCGTTGGGGCCATATTTTCAGGTGCCCAGTTCCCCGGTGAGACCTCTCTAGTCAGGGACGCGACCCGTGGCTGAGGATTTTGGACGGATGGGATTTTGAGTAGCTGTAGGCTACTTATATTTTGGAGTTTAGTGCTTTCATTTAGTATTTTAGTATTTTGTGGATCATGATGTTAGATCCTTTATTTTGTATATATGGTCTGTATATGTTTTGTACATGCCTGTCAGTTTGATGCATGTACATTTGAGTATTCAGGCACGTTATATGATGATGTAGTATTCAATTATGTTTATGTATTGGATTGCATGCTGTTAGATTAGCGGCACTGAGCCAAGTTATGCATGCGCCCATGGATGGGTATCTGATTATATTTGCATGACTGGTACTTCTGGATTGATGTGCTGTATAAACTGTTTATCAGGAAATGCTTCTGAGCGGGATTGGAAAATCTCCAGTTGTCCGATTTATAGAGGAAACTCTGTCCGATTTTCGTTTACATCGAATGAGAATTTAAAAAGAAAAAGAAAAAGTTAGCTCGTATTTTCGTAAGTTAAGTCTTCCGCTGTTTCTGCTTTTATCATATGTATGTTAATTGAACCGACTCGAGACGGGGATGTTACAAAATCTCTATTTCTATGGTTTGATTTTTGTGATTTAAGTTTGAGATTTTGAAATATGTTTTGGTGGGAAGCTTGTGATGAAATTTGAAAGTTTGTGATGTGTTAGTATTGTGTAGTGAGTTGTAATGTAGAATTAGACATTAACATGTATAAAAATTGGAAGAAATCCCATGTCTCCTCTTCCACTATATTTCGGCCTTAATGGAGTAATGAGGGTATGATGTGCAAAATTTTATTTCATGTATTGGGAAGGTTAATATGTTGGAGTAAGTGGAAATTTAATGAATTAGTGAGAGTACCAAAGTGGAAAAAATCCTATGTTATTATATCTCTATGTTTCAGCCCTAATGTACCGTAGAGGAGTTTGATGTTCAAAATTTAATTGGACATAGTGGGTATATACATGTGTATGTGCAAGTTGCAATTTAAGTGAAGAAAATAAATTGCAAAAGAAAAGAATCCTTTGAAGTTCCCTTGTAGATTTCGACCTATAGGGTGATTTAGGGATATATTAAGTTACATTTTATTAAAATAAAATGTGGAGTTTCCAATGCATGTAATTGATGAGTTGAAGAAGTGAAATGACTTGAAAAATTGTTGAAAGAAATATTGGTTTCCTTTATGTGTACCCACGGCCTTATGAAGAAAAATGGCATGAATTATGTTTAAAATTCTCAAGTGAATACTTAGTTAATTTAGGGAACGTTAACGATTATAAAATGATAAATTAAAGGAAATTATAAAAGCGTGGTCTTGACTTGTGAATTGACATAGGATTGGCATAATGTGAGGAAACGAAAGTGAACAATAAGATGTATGCCTTGTGTAAATTTCATGGCATTGTAACACTTTATTGATTTTTGTTTTGAATTCTTCTCTAGGTGTGCCTAGGGATTGAGAGGGTTTGAATGTCCGTTGGAGCTATATAAGTAACTTGCGCGACAAGTAAGCGAATTAGTAAAGCTTCAAGAGGTAAGCTCTATGTTTTAGGAGTCTTTTCCTGCTTGAGTTCTCCACCATAGGTAGTGAACTGTGGTTGGATTGTATGATTGTTTTGATGATTTGTATAGATGCATTCATATAGAGCTTTTTGATAACATGATATGACTTGTTCTGATATGATTTCTGTATTGATTGTATGGTACACTGATGTCTTCTTGGGGTTCCCCTGAGATTGACGGTGTACGCCTCTGACATGTTCTAGTTCCGCTTGGGGTCCTCCCTTGGGAACACGTGCATTGATTTTCGCTTGGGGTCCTCCCTTGGGAATGACGGCGTACGCCTTTGATAAGATATGTATATATGTTTTGTTCAGTGAAGATATCTATTATATGTTGCCTTGTGTACTCTGTATCTGACTTTCATGTAGGAGTGAGCCCAGGGGTATGAAGAATTCTCTATAAACCTGGAGCTTATTGAGATTTGTTATCTCACCCCTCTTTGGGGACATCATTTCAGGTTCTCAGATTCCCGGTCAGCCCTCACTAGGCAGGGACGCGACCCGTGGTTGAGGCGTTTGGACAGACCAGATTTTGAGTAGCTGTAGGCTACTACTATTTTGGAGTGTATTTATGTTATTTAGTATTTCAGCATTTTGGGGATCATGATGTCTGACCCTTTACTTTGTATATGGCCTGTATATGTTTTGTACATGTCTTTCAGTTTGATGCATGTACATTTGTGTATTCAGGCATGTTGATATGACGATGTAGTATTTAATTATGTTACGTGTTAGATTGCATGTTGTTCGGTATAGTGGCACGGAGCCAAGTTATATGCGCCCATGGATGGGTATATGATTTTATAGGGATGTCTGATACTTCTGAAAGTATATGCTGTATAAACTGTCTATCAGGAACTCTTCCCAGTTGTCCGATTTACAGAGGTTACTCTGTCCGATTTTCGTATCCGTCAAATAAGAATTAAACTAGAAAAAGAAAAAGTTTGCTCGTAATTTCGTAAGTTAAGTCTTCCGCTGTTTCTGTTTGTATCATATGTATGTTAATTGAACCGGCTCGAGACGGGGATGTTACAGTGAGGATCGAACCCATGACACCGAGACTCTGATATCATATAAAGAACCAATGTAACCCAAAAACTTAAGCTGTTAAGTGAGGCTATATTAATGGTTTTATATATCTCTAAGAGTGAATATATAGGGAAGGGAAAAAGCATACCTGTGAGAACGGCTACTTCTTTCATTCATAGCAGTGGAACCCTTGGCTCTATTTTTAAGACCAATGTCCATTAGTTTCATGACATCTGCAGTTGATTTGACAGGATACATGCTAGCATCAGGCACTGCTAAACCATTTGGTTGAGAGTGGTTCAATATCCCAAGTGTGTGCAAATCAAGGAAATCAAAGATAATAAACATGACATACTTCATGCAAAAAAATCAAAAAGAAGAAAAACACAACCAAAATAAACTGTTCAAAGCTATTGAAAAAAGGATATTTTTTTGGAGCACCATCACTTGTTAACAAATCCCGCACTTGTTCATTATATATCTCAATTATTTGAACCCCAATGTCATAGACTATGGAACTTTTTCTATTTGTGGATATGCTGAAGAGTTCATTCAGAGCTCGATAGTTAACACCAACACTTTCGTTTGTTGCACCATTTGGACCACTCTGAGAAAAAAATGACATCTTATAGAATGAGGATTTTCCATTAACTAGCATGGTGTATAAGATAAAAATGAGTATGTAAAGAGGGTTATATACCATTGTGTAAGTTTTCCCTGAACCAGTCTGGCCATAAGCAAATATACATACATTATACCCATCGAGTACTGATCGTATAAAGGCTTGTATGTCAGAGTACACCTCAGCTGTATAATTAAGATCAGTAATAATTAGTATATAATAAAACAAATCATGTGTGCTTTTCAGAGAGTTGGTTTATGACATGATATCAGAATCACTATGATCAAGTGGTCTAAATTTGGTCCTTGTTGCTGAATAAACAGGTATTGTTATGATGCAAAAAGTTCATCCATTCAAAGCCTAATGATAAAACGGTGAGTATATAGAAATAAACCTTGAGTTGAGGTTGGACCAAAGACCTTGTTAAACTTAAATGTTCTAAGGGCTTCTTTCCCTTGTTTGGAGGGATTTGCCACAACCAAATCTGTTTCACCAATGTGTTCCACAATAGACTGTTTTTCCTTTAGTCCAGCAAGAAATGGTCTGAGTCGACAATATACTCTAATATTTCCTGTATCAGAGAATTTTTTTTTTTGTGAATTCACAATACAACTACATCAATTACCTATTAGACAAACACAGATAATATTACCTTTTAATTCTTGAATTTCATTGAACATTTTTCGATTTTCTGAAAGAACTGCTTGATAATTCTCAGCTGCATCTACTAGTGATTTAAGATTTACACCTGAACAAGTTACGAACACAATGATCAGAGCTTACCCCCTCAAAAAAAAATAAAAAAATAAAAAAAGTGTATAACAAGGCCTACCTAATCGATTACATTCCTCAGCATAAACCGTTTTCTCTTTCATAACGTCTTGCTTAATGGATTCCCATGACATTTTCAATTTCTGGATGTTTGCAAATTCAGTGGAAAATTGTAATATTTGATATCATAACAATAAGATTGACATTAACCTATATATAAGTTTACCTGTAGGTAACTAAGCTGGAAATTAACAGCTTTTTGCATTTGGATCTCTTTCATTTTCCACTTCTGATATTTTGACTCAGTAAAAGCCTCTTTCTCTTTAACCTTATTTTTATATTGTTCCAATATCTGTTCAGTTTCTTGTGATTTCTGTTTCAGTTCTCCTTTAGCATCCTTTGCTTCTGCTTCCAACTGTGAGCATTTTACTTCATATGTTTTTTTCAACGTTTCTAGTTCTTGCTTCAATGTTGAAATTTCCATGTTTTTGTCTTCCAGCTCTTTAGTAAGTCTAATAACATCTTTGTCATCTTCCTTCTTTTCCACTTCTTTAGTCTTCTCAGTTTTAATTGACTCTTCTGCCTTCTCAGTTTTAATTGACTCTTCTGCCTTCTTTTCTTCCTTTTTAATCTTCTCAGTCTGTAATGAGGGGCCAAATTTCCCATAATATGATCAAATGAAAATAATTCATTTAGCATCAAAACACAAAAAAAAAAAAAAAAGTACTGTCATAACCTGTCTCTAAAAGTGCACTGATATGTTACTTGCAAAGTAAGAAAACATTACCTTTAGCTGCTGAAGCTGGCTTGTAACATCAACCTGTTACAAAAAGTTCCATATGATAAATAGAAAATATTGTACCAATATGCAAAGTTGAAGGGAATTTGAAATGGGTCCATTTATTCACACTTCTAACATGATGAAATCAGCTATAAATATTTGTGATACCTCACTCTCTTCCCCGGTTCCAGATGCAAGAGCCTCAAGTACACTGATTCTTGATTGATATTTTTCTTCACGAGCCTTAAAAAGATTGTTTTGCTGAAGGCAGAGGGAATGAAAATGATATATCAAAACCAATTGAGAAAAACAAAGGTAACTAGCTTATACAAAATAATGTAATTGACATACTTTTCGTAAATGTTCTGCTTGAGTTGATATACGCCGCTCAATCTCTTGGACAACTTTCCTCAACAAGCAAGCCACACGCTGAGATGCAAAGATATTGTAAGACATTACACTCAAAAACCTTTTTTGTTACACGTGTATGTGCAAGACATTTGCATGGACTTATACAAATGGATTCTCTTTTTTCTTGTTTTTAACGTGACCATATCACGTGAAAGATCTCAGTCATTCATTCATAAATCAACAGTCACAATTTTACTGAAAAAGTTCATAAAAAGAAAAAGTGGAAATTGTCACTTTAATTACTGACCATTGATATATCCACACCACATTGTCACGTTAAAGCAAAATATGAGAGAATCTATTCCCATTTACTTATACATGTGCTACATGAATGATTTATGTACATATGTAACACCAAAGGCTCCAAGGCCATACATGGGGTATTTCGCCATTTCTTCTCTCAACACTTTCTTCCAGGATACCATTGACAACACTCAGAAGCGATTGAGTGGGAGCATTCTGCAACGATAAATGCTGAAATAAATCAGTGATGCATAGAACTAGAAAAATATACATAAACATCATGTATCTCCGAAGGTGATGAAAAGACTAAGAGAACTTACATCCAAACAAGATGATGTCATCAGTTCTGAGATTTTTGCAGCAGGAAGATCAGCGTAGCTTCCATGTTTCAGTTGAAACACCTCAGGGAGCTTATGACCTATTAATGCAGCTGATGGTTCTGCAGAAGATGCAAAATTAGTAGACTTGGCATATTTTAAATTGAAGGATATACATGAATTGTATAATATACCCCTTAAAATATATATATGAAGTATATATATTTTAAATTTAAGTTACTGAGTAAAGACCTATCAATGATTTTTTATTATATCTCTAACACATCCCCTCATGCAAGAGTCTTTTGGCCTTGAAGTGTGGATACGATCTCGTGATCGTAGGGACTAATCATCTCACCTAGAAGTTTAAGCTATTAAGTAAAGGCCCATAAACGATTTGATATTATATGTCTCTAACATGCACAATTACAATAAAAGTTTGCAACACCATAGTTCTCTATAAGTCATATGTAGTAGACTTGGATATCAATAAATTTTCTTGTTAATATAATCATGTCACAATGTTTTGGAAATTGCAGGTTCAATCACATCTCATAAATATGCATCAAAACACAGACAGAAGGTAGACGCTGAGTTAAAATTCACCATACCTGTTATAATTGGGCTATGCAAGACACTTTGAAACTTTGACTCAGACAAAACCTTCCTTTGTGCTGAATGAACTCCATTGGAATTGGCACTTGAAATTCCCAGATCTCTGGGTTCTGTAATGTGGTTATTAGATGCTGGATTCATCACTAGGTAAATTCCTGGAGGGACTCACAACTTCAGGCGTCCATGGAGATTTGTTTCATAGAAATTTCCATTGTATCATATCTCACCCAAGAAACTCTTGAAAGCTGAAATTAATATCCAATCCACCCCAACAAAAGCAAATGTAAGAATCATTGTGTTGACCCTATGAATTATTATACAATACAATGCAGTGAAAGGCACTATAATTTTGCACTTGTAATGAGTTTTAGCATATTCCAAACTCTTCCAAACCAATCAGAAAGAATTATAAAACATAAAACACAGAAAATCCCAAGTTCTGAACAAGGGAAGAAAAAAAAAAAAAAAAAGTAAAAAAGAGCCATCATGCATAAAAATATGTATGACAAGTTTGATGTTTCAAGATTACATAGCAAACACAATAGCATTGCCACTTCAAAAGCAATACTGTAACATTATCCAAGGACAATTAGCTGAAATTATAACCAACCTTCCGAATTTAATCAAGCTCCTTGTCACTTATAAAGAACATCAAAATTACCAAAACAACAACATGGACAATGTGAAAAGCATCAACACAGGTGAATCCAACCTTGAGGATAGTAACATCGAATCAAATGTTCCTTCTTGTGGGGAGAGTCAGAGTAAATTCAAATAAAAATCAATTGGATTTTTCTACTATAGATATTTTTATTTTTTAATTTTAATTATTTAATGATTTTGGAAATTTTGGTTGAAATGCTTGACATAGATGGAAAGGGGGGTTCCGAGAAAATAGGAGAGCAACACTCTCTGCGTCACGATCGTTTTAGGGGAAGAACACCAATGAATGAATCACCCGCCAAAAAAAAAAAATGGTTCGGTGGGTGCTTGCCATGTGTCCAATACCCGAGAGCCACGGTGCGTCATATGTCGTCAATAAACTGCAGACCTTAGTCTTTAGAAGCCCAGACCCTCACTTTGGCCCAAAGAATGTTGGATTGGACGTGCATGAAGCAAGAACAGACCCACCACGTGCTGAAACAGTAAACTACATGAAATTCTTTTGGATTCATGCAGTAATATTGGGGATGCACGTTCAAATTCACGTCAGACGCATAAATGTTGGAGAAATATAAATATATTAATGCAGTTTCATCCTATTGCTTAAATTTTTGGCTTGAATTGATTTTTTATATGGTATTATAGTCTTAAGTGATTAAGTGATCACAAACTCAATTATCTTTGCTCCCAATCATAAAGAAATAAAAAGCGAAGAAATAGAAAATCAATGGAAAAGTTAAGATAGTTTTCTGTTTTAGTCGGATAACTCCACGTATGCTTGAAATCCCCTCCAACCTCGCAGTGTAGCACCCAATGCATCATATTCCTCCGTTCCCAGATTTGATATGTTGATGTTCTTAGCAATCAAATTAAATCTAGAATATTACCAAAAATAAAACTTTTTGCACACACTAGGAAGAACATGATTATGAATGTCATATAGGTTAAAAAAGTTAGCTAAAAAAAATTGTCGGGGTTTTAAGCTCAACATCTCCCACTTATTAAAAATAAACTAAAAGCAATAAAGGAAAACTAAAATTGAAATAGTAGAAGCAAGAAATTGCCAGGTTATCTCCCAATAGGTGCTTGTTTAACGTCATGAGTTTGACGTATCTTCATGTGATTATGGTGGCTCAAAGCATGAGCTCAATGATGACCATGTCCCCTCGGTAAAAAATTATGCCCTTCCATAATAATAATCATGTGCTTACGGATGAGATGGAGTATCTAAGGAACTCTAAACTTAGTTTTTACATGTTTTTTCTTGCTCCTAGGCTTTTCTATCTTAACCTTTGGCTTACAATTTTCACATGGTTGATGGCCTTTGTTCTTGTTATTTTCCCTACCTTTCTTTTCACCAACAAAGCAAACTTGGCCTTCCGGCTGAGGCGTAAGCGGTGGGGTTTCTTTTTCAAAAACTTTGAATATCGCTTGTTCTCTTTTCACCCTTAAGATCAACTCACCCTTAGGTACATCAACTAACGCTCCTGATGTTGTTAAGAAGGGTCTTCCGAAGATTAGGAACTGTGACATCTTCTTCTATATCAAGGATAACAAAGTTAACAGGAATGATAAACTTGTCTACCTTGACTAGTATATCTTCTATAATGTCATAAGCTTGCTTTGTGGAGTGGTCAGCCAATTGCAATATTATCCTAATTGCAATATTGTCCTAATTGGCTTCACTTCCATAATTCTTATCTTTTTCATCATGGATAATGGCATTACATTAATACTGGCACCAAGATCACATAAGACTTTATCAACTGCACTATGCCAATTGTGCAAGAAATTCTAAAGCTTCCAGGATCCTTTAATTTTGGAGAAAACTTCCTTTGTATGATTACACTACACTCCTATGTTAAAACACTGAGTTTATCCTCTATGAGCTTCCACTTTTTTGATAAAATCTCCTTTAGGAACTTGTCATAAGAAGGCATTTGCTCCAGAGCTTTCGCAAAAGGAATATTAGTTTACAATTTCTCAAAGATATCTAAAATCTTAGAAAATTGCTTCCTTTGTTCTTGTTGCTTGATCCTCTGCGGGTAAGGGGCTTGAGCATATGGATTGGGCTCTGGTGGTTTGTACTCATTAACACCTAGAAGACTTAAATATGGATTGCTTGATCCCCGTCTCAACCCGGTTCAATTAACTTACATAAGATACTAAAACATACATCAGCGGAAGACTAACTTACAAACTTACATTAGCTTACAAAAATACGAGATAACTTTTTGCTTCTATTTCTTTAATGTGTTTCACATGATATATAGCATTTCATAACTTTCTTCTAATTAATTTTTCATGTGACAAAAATTAAAATCGGATAGCATAACGACTGTAACCCGGACAATGGGGATTTAGAAATCCCACGCTCAAGGTTCCCTGATAAACAATTCATATAATCCATAATTTCAGAAATCTCAGATATCCATTAAGGATCAAATACGCATCCATAGGCTCATGCATAAATTGGCTCTGTGCCACTATGTTTAACAATATGCATAACCAACACATATACATAACTAAATGCTAAGTAATCATATAAACATGCCTGAATATACAATTGTACATGCATTAAAATGGAAAGGATGTATAAAGCATATACATGGCATATACAAAATAACGGATCAGACATCATGATCCCCAAAATAAATAGAATACGCAAGCAACATAATAATCCTCCAAAATACAATAGCATGCAACTACCCAAAACTTGGTCCACTAAGGCACTCTATCCACTGGTTGTATCCCTTCCCCGTGAAGGCTCGCCGGCAATTTGTACACCTGAAATGATGTCCCCAAATGGGGTGAGATAACAAATCTCAATAAGCTCTAGGTTTATATAGAATTCTTCATACCCTAGGCCCACTCCTGCATAAGAGTCAGATACAGAGTATACAAGACATCATATAAACAAATATCATAACTAAACTAAGCATATACACATATCTTATCAGATATGTACGCAGTCATTCTCAAGTGAGGACCCCAAGCGAAAATCAGCGCACATGTTCTTATAGGAGGACCCCGAGCGAAACCAAACATAATCAAAGGTATACACAGTCAGTCCCAAGGAAGAACCCTAAGCAGACATCAATGCACATAGAATCAATGACCAAAGATCATTACAGAAATCACATCAGAACAAAACATATCATATTATCATATAACTCTATATGAATGCATCTATACAAAGCATCAAATACAATCATACATCTAACCATAGTCAACTAACCATGGTGGAGCACACAAGTAGGAGAAGTGCAAAAATATAATGGTACATTTAGTGAAGGTATATGTGAGTGTGGTTGTTGTGAATTAAATGAGCAATGGAATGTATAAAAAAAGAAATCCCTTGTAAACCTTTCCAATTAGGTTTCGGCCTTTAGGGTATAATTAGGGGTTTGAAATGTAAATTAAAGTTTGAACAGGTGTGTAGGCTTTGGAATATATGTATGTATAAGAGAATATATGAGTTAAATGGTTAAAGAATTCCTTGGTTGTGAAAATGCCACTTTGAGGCCTATGTGCTTAAATTGTGGAAACTTGGAAAATCATGAATATATAAATGAATTTTGGATTAGAGGTGTGTGACAAGCTTGAATTCGATGGACTAAAGCATTCGAATCATAAAATTGGCATGGTTTCCTTCATGTGCCTATTGGCCATTTACAAATGAAGTATGTTTAAGAGTGATTGTTTTTGCTAGTGAGCATTTATACGGTCTAAAGACTATATGATTAGATGTTTAAACTTTTGGTTGGGTTAGTTAAAAAGAAAAATGAATAAGTTCCTTCTTTGGGCCTTATATGTGAATTTGGCTATTTCCAAAGGGGGTATGTGCTAGGAGTTACTGTTTTGCAAAGCGAGCACACTTTTATGCGTAAAATAATTTATGTAGGTGGCTAAGCTTGGGTTTAGGTACTAGACAAAGAGAAATCTTATAGCTCCTTTGTAATAGGTACTCTGCCTTAAATCAGGAAAAATAGGCTTCAAGGTGCTAAAAGGGGTAATGAGTGTTCTAAAGGCCTTTTGGGGCTATCCTAAGACAAGGTAGATATGTGGAATTATGTGGGAATCTGTTGAACAAAGAACCACCCACCCAGGGTCTAATGTGGTTAAGTTAAAAATAATTTGGTTATGACTTGTGTGAATATTATAATATTGGCATAATAATTGATAAGAAAAAAGAAAGTAATCAACAAAGTGTGTGTCTTGTAGAATTACATGTCATTGTATCATTTTATTGAGTTTTGTTTTGAATTCTTTCTCTAGGCGTGCCTAGGGATTTCGAAAGTTTGGATTCTTTTGGAGGAAGATAAGTGACTCGGGTGACAAGTAAGATTATTGTTAAAGTTCCAAGAGGGAAGATCTATGTTTAAGGAGTCATCACACCTCCTTTGGATCATCATGGTCGAACCCTAAGGAGAGATTCAAGAGGATTTTTTTCCCAACTTTACATACATATACATGTT